TTTCCCTGAATTCAAAGTTAATATTCTTAAAAAGAAAAAAGAACGAAAAAAACAAAAGAAAAGGTCTGTGCTCAACTCAAAGGTTGGCAAGCTGGCTGAAAAGGTGGGTTTTCAATTTGTTCTGTGGTCAGGGTGTCTGAACAAAAGAATCAGAACCCAGTACTTCATCTTCCCAGAGGCAGAATGGCTACAGACCATTCCATTGTAACTTTCAGTCAAATCACTAACGTTCTGTGAGTATAGCTCAATGATTGGCAGAGTTCTCAAAGTGTCAATTACTTTGATATATCAACATAAAGAAATGATTTGACCTTAAAATAAAAATAATCAAAGGTCTTGTCGTCTTCAAAAACTCTTAATTCTGCAAAGTATTTTTCCACCTATGACCTTGCCATGCTACATAGTGGGGACTCAGAATGTTTTAGTATATTAATGAAGGAATCTCATTCTTACAACAATCTGGAGAAAAATCAATGAGATAAGTATCACTATTTCCATCTGACAGATGCCGAAGCGAAGGCTTGGAGAACTCGTGACTTGACATTCATTTTAGACCTCATTGGGGAAAGGTTTGGTACTGGAACACAGGCCTCATTAATTTTAATCTAATCGAATATTCTTTTCACAACCACACCATCATCTCTGCAGTAACGCCAGGTTCCACAAGTCGCTGCAACTACAAAGCCAAGGGCAGTCAATACACATACCAATACTGTCAAAATGTTCACCGGATATTGATCATCCGTCAGGCCTCCCCATTCACCCAGTGTGATTATCAGTACAATCACTGCAACATCCATGCACCTGCCCACTGAGCCTCCAAACTATCGTGGGTCATCCCCCACTCGGAGCTCGGAGCTCGGAGCTCGGAGCTCGGAGCTCGGAGCTTCGCGTGAGCCAGGTGCTTACCTACCACTTTTAGTTGGTTTGCACAACTGATGATGACAGGGCACAATCACAAAGCTTCCTTTCTCTCGGCAGCAGTAGGAAAGTCACATAAACTAGTAATAGAAGGTGGTTTTCTATCATGAATGAGTAATAACGTAATTAGCACTTTTTAAATCATTGCTCAACAACAGAAAACACAGTCACTAAATTTGGGGGTCACATCCTCATAGCCTTAAGAACGTTCTGTTTAGATACCAATGGAGGGAGGGGGAAAAGGCTTAGATGGGTTAACATAAATTATGAAACTGTGGTATTTTTCATGATTCTTCTCCTCAGATGTAAAATAAGCCCAGTATCAGGTGAAATAGAATCCAGACTGGAAGTTGCTACATTTTATTTCATTTAATGACTAATGTGAATTAATCCAACTATTTTTGAGAACGTGCACATTAACAAAATGTACCATAGCAATGAGAACTACAAACAAAGGTAAATAAAGGTAAGTAAAAAACTGGTACATCCAGACAATGGGATATTATTATTCAGTGCTACAAAGAGATGAGCTATCAAGCCATGAAAAGACATGGAGGAAACTTAAATGCGTATTAGTAAGTGAAAGAAGCCAATCTGACAAGACTACGTACTATATGATTCCAACCATATGACATTCAGGAAAAGGCAGAAGCGCGGAAAGATTAAAAAGATCAGATCGGTGGTTCAAGGGTTGGGGGCAGGGATGCACGGGCAGAGCACACAGTATTTTTAGGGTAGTGAAACACCAAGAGTGAAACCGAATGTGAACTATGGACTTTGGGGGCTAATGATGTGTCAATGTAGGTTCATAGATGGTAACAAATGCACCCATCCTGACCTGGGATGTTGACAGAGGAGGAAGTTGTGGGGGTGGAGGGCGGGGAGTAGGAGCTATATAGAAACTCTGTACTTTCCATTCAGTTTTGCTGGGAACCTGAAACTGCTCAAAGAATTAAAGTTATTAAAAATTTAAAATGTAAAGAGATCACAAAATTACCATCATGCTTTTTCCTGTAAATATAGGTCAAATCTTACCCCAACAGATATTATTACACAAATTTCTCAATTACAATAAAGAGTGCAAATACTAACTTATTCATAAACTTAAAATCTGCAATACAATTTTAAAATCCTGGAAGAGACTTTGTATTTCATAGTAAAGTTTAGTTTGTAGCTGTATTACTATGGTAGCAGAACAGAAGACTGCTTTATAATTTGGTGTAGTTGTGAATTAACAAAAATTATTATCATGGGTCACAGGAAAATGTGGCAAAATTAATAAGCTTTGCTCAAGGTGCCAACTATAAGGAACTTGACAAAGAAACTCTTGAGAGAGACATGTGGACTAGAATGTGAATATATTATACGGGATAACATACATGAAAATCTTCTTTTAGTATGCATGTTCCCCACTAATCTGTTTTTATTGGCAGCCTTCTGCTATCTTTTCCCAAATATCAGGTCTTCATCAAATAGGAGATGTAAATTTTTTTATTATGGGCTGTCAACTGGGCAACACTAAAAAATTGTCTTCAATAAGAATTTTTAGGGATATTAAAGATTCCAACTTAACTCACATGAACTGAGACATGTTTAGTAGATATTTAAGATAAGTTTTTATGATATCAAAAATTACAAGCAATAAATCCATTGGCAAAACTTCTATTTTTGTCTCCTGTTATAAAATTGAAACCATTAAGAGTTAGATTCAGGCCGGTTTAAAATTGTTTGAGACAAAGTACTGGCTAACCTGCCAAGGTAGGGACACTTCCAATGTTGCTTTTTCCCATGTCATAGGGATGCCCCGCATGTGTTTAGTGTGTAATACCTAAGACAACTTAATCAAAAGACACAGAGGAGTAAGCAGAGTTCTTTGTTCACACCATCACCCCTGGAACTGGCAGCTACTGTCCCCTCACTCTTTCAAAGAGTAAAAGGTAGCAATGCCTTTCAACTATTAACACAGTTTATAGGAAATGTATCACATTTGTTTGTACGGACCTAGCATTCCAGGGTCTAACTTACTGCCTTGCAAAGGTGACTTAATATTTAATTATAAAAATAAGAACATCTATTTTATGCCCTTACTCCATTACTGGAATGGAACGCTACATTGCTTCCTTCAGATGCAAAGCACACCCGTTTATCTTGAAGGGAGAGACACAAAAAAAGTCTACGTCTGAACTCGAGGCAGAGTAGTAACTTCCCCTTTCCATAATCCTTTCCCTTTCGACGGGGTTGGAGGAGAAACCATTAGAGGAGTACATTAAGCCCAAAATTAAAGGGTTATAAAAGATCTTACTGTTTACCTAGAGTTCTTATTAAGATCAAGTTGTGTGTGTGTTTTTTAAAAAGGAATATTTAGCAACAAAAATGATGGTTGATCTCAAACTGTTGTACTCACCTGCTGTTCTCTAGCCCCCAGCCCAGAGTCTGGGACATAGTATACTTAATAAATGTCTTTTTAATAAATATGTCTTATATAAACTAAAATAATTTTTAAAAACCTGCAAGTAGGGGAACAGGAAGTAAACCAAAATAATGCATAAATATAGTGAACTAATGGGAAAGGCAGCGTCCTCCTCACATCCTCACAGAGGGAGTGGAAACACTGACCTGAAATAAGCAGCGTGACTGAGCCGCAGAGTCGGGAGCAACGTTCTGCGGTGATTTTGTCCTAGGAGGCCCACAGGCCTCTGCATTTGTTCTGTGAAGCCTCAGCTGTTTTACAGCGGACACAAATATAGCTGATTCTGGTCTGTGTGTCTAAGATACTGCTTTGTGACCCAAGGGAAACACAAACAAAGTCCCGTGAGAGAGGAAGCTCACTCAGAGCCTGCAGACACCCCTCATCACCTAACCAAAGCCCAGACAGCAACTCCCCAGAGAAAATCTTGTATGATACAGAGGAAAATCAACGTGGGAAAATGTCCAAAGTGGGAAAGGTCAGGCCTAGTGTTGTCACTGTGGATCCTGTTTGGAGGTTACATATAAAAAATTAGACTTGGGAGGAACTCTATGAAGACTGTCTTCCTGGTGCCCCCCGTTCTCCTGTAGACAGGACCCACAACTCACGCAGATGTTTCTATTCTAAAAGACTCCCTAAGATGGTGATTCTGTGATCTCCCTTGGGGAGTCCCCTTCCAACATGACCGAGGCTTAAATTCAAGTCCCAGGCTTCCTGGATGTTTTCTCCAAGTAATTCTGTCAATATATTTTACCTCTTTCCAATAACCCAGAACAAGGAAGTCTACTTTTTATGGCCTGTGATTAGACTAATTGAACAAGTATGTGTTGGTAAGCACTGCTGGTGTGATTACGATGACTAATGCTTCCATGTGTTGTCGCAGCCCAAAAAAGATGTTAGGTTCTGCGCTATCCCACAGAGCATAGTGCTAGACACAAGGAAATCCAATGAATACATTTTTAGTTAATTCAAAACAACCTTCATATAATTCTCCTTATATCTTAAATTCTCTTGACCTTCATTCAGGTGGAATCTCTGACTGTCCACATGGCCCAGAAGAGGAGTGCATTGGCCTCTCGGTCAGAGCTCCTTACGTCCTGGATAACTGGTACTATAAATCACTCCACAGCCTTCTCAACTCCCCACAACCCCTTTAACGTCCCGACCTGCCAAGTTATTCCCATCTAAAACCCCTAAGCTAAGGGATTCTCCAATTTATTCATATTTCTCCTGAATTGGGGAGCCCAGAACTTGAGTCAGCATACTGGCAATTCGGCAACATTGGGAATATAGCCTTCCACTTCCCCATCCCAGAATCATGCTTAATATAGAGACACAAGTAGTCCATGACTGGCTCATGGCACCTGGTTACACTGAACCTGAGGAGGTGTGTTACTGACCACTTCTTCAGATCAAATGTCCACAAAGCTTTTTCTAAATCCTCGGGAAACTTGCCTCTTTACTCAAGGTTCGAACACTTGAGAACAACTGAACATACTTTCTGTCCTACCAACAAGTCACTCTTAAAACTTTCCAAAAAGAAGTTAGTATAAACTCTGATAAAATTCATTTCATTAAGGTATTTTAAGGGAAACAGTAATAAATAACTGGTCCTGAACAGAATTTTCCAGTCCAACCAGCTTGATATAAGTTTTGGTAGTTGCATTATTAGATCGTTTAAAATTTTTGTCTGTATCGGCTATAGTATGGATGTATAATATCAGCCCCCAAAAAAGTGTTGTCTGTTTTAAGAAGGGTGTGAGTACAGCGCCACACCTTTTACCTTAGGTTTTCAGATCACAGTTGGAATATGTCCTCAGGTTGCCCTCTTCACCAACTCTTCGGATGATGACAAGGTGCTCTACCCAGGTACAAATAAGAGAGCAGAGCTGGTGATGAGGAGAGGCCTTCTGTGTGAGTTACTAAGATGGGCATACAAGCACTCAAGTTTTGCATCTCCTCGAAACTAAGGAGGGGGCAAATAAACAAAGATTTGGTTATTATACCTCACAGGGACTTATTAAGACTCAATATCCTCCATATAAAAGGCGTATCTCTTCTTAGGTTGTCCTAAGAAGACTTCTTTCTTTACAAATCCAGACTAGCTCCATGAGCCTATCCTTTTTAAACTTTCCTCTAATGTTATCATTACTTTCATTAGAAATGGAAACAAACCTTAAATACCTCTTTTTCTTTTTAAAGCATGATTATGAGAGGGAAATATGGACTGTGTACTCTCTGCCAGGCTCTATGCTGTTGTTTCTTGAATGTCTCTTTAAAACCTTTATGAGGTAGATGTTATTTCCATTTTCCAGTTGAAGAAAAAGGGACACAGGCCGGATAAGTAATTTTCTTAAGGCTGCACAGTTGTTAGAGTTCCACCCAAACCCAGGCTAAAACCACAGCCTACCAACCTCTCTGAGTGTGTTAGACCCGTCTCATCTTTAAGTATTTTCCAGAGTTCCACGAGATGTGAAAAGTGATAGCTAGTTAGCCTGAAACATCCTTTGGATTCTTAGTTTACTCTTCTTGAATATATGCTGGGAGATGCTGAAGTTACCCAGCTTATTTATTTATTCGTCAATTCTTCCATACGCATGCTATACGATTGTTTGTTTTTTTATAGCTTGCATAGCTTTTTTCTTTGGAATAAAAGAATGACTATCTTAAGGCAAAATACTTTTGCCAGTTCAGGATTATCTATCAGTTGCTTTTATTATGACTCATATAGAATGGAATGTGTGTTCTTTAGCCACACTTTCCTCAAAGGTAAGAGATGCTGCTGCATGAATCTTTATCATGAAAGAATATGCCTTCATTTGGTTTTATGTCACCTACGAATAACCCTTTTCTACTCAGCTCTCTGATCTTAATGTACTAAGTCCTCGGCTGCAAAAGGACAGCCATGCTTTGGGGAAACTGATAATTCAAAGTCCACAATGAACCACCCATTTAATCAATCCATTGGCTACCAGAGAAGCACTCTGAAGCAACCTGATAGTCACTTCAACTTACACAATGCTTATTTGAAAAGAAAAGTTTTCATTCTCAGATAAGACCATCTTGTGCAGTCAGGACATAAAGCACAGTTCCTGACTGAGAGGTGTCAACAATTTGTAAAATACTGTGCGAGCCACCTGTAGCACCCGGCACTATGGCGGATCTCAACATTTGGGGTCGATTATTGTCTTTGGGGGAATAGCAGAGTGAACAAGTGGCAATGCAGTACCAAACTCTCTTTCCCCTTGAAATCACAAGGAGGATTCTTTCTCAAACTCTGTGCAGATAGAATGCTGAGTGCAATACATCAGAAGGCATTGCGGTGAGGCCTCCCCTCACAGTTACGCAACATCAGCCAAAGCAGGTCCCAAACAACTGCGCAGCGCACTGGGCCCCAGGGAGGGGGAGGGGAGCGAGCAGGTGCGCAGCTGCCTGTGAATGGCCCATTCACAGACCCAACAGTGTCAGAGGGGCGACGGGTAAAACCAGCCCTTCGTGATCCAGTATAAACCCATGCGCTGCAAGAAGGCACACTAGAAAGCCGATTTCCATAAGTCCGGTGAATCAATTTCTCTCAACAATCTTATTGAAAAAGCACCTCTTCAGGAAAAATCATGGAGAGAACTACTCATGCAGCAAACACTGGTGCTTCCTCAACTTCAAATGTCCCTGTGAGATATTAATTATGAGCCAGATAAAATACGTAAAAGCAGCTTTTTTACTTCAGAACCAACTAATTATCTTTCATAACTCTTTTGAAAAGCAAATGTAGACATAAAAGCTGGAGTGAAAAACATGTTAAATGCATCGTGTCTAGACTGCCAAAAAAATAAGGGAGTTTAAATGCACAAAATCGAAAAGATCTTACTAAACCAGAATTTCAAATCAATGTAAAAAAAATTCCAGCCACAGATTTTAATGTATCGTGTCATTAGCATTTTATATTTATACATCAGCTTTAGGGTGGATGTTGCTGTATATTCAAGATACACATACATCCCACATGGTGAGTAGCACCAATATTGTAAAATTATAAAAATAAAAAAGTGCTTTTCAGGCATCCCTTCCCTTAAGATGCTGCACATTCCTGTAACTGTCAAAGGCAGACTATTGGAAAGCAGATCAAACATAAAAAGATATCTTCACTGCACCAGCAGAAAACCTTAAAAATGGGTGGGTCAAGGCAGCAGAAAGGGAAGTGGAGGTGATTATTGGGCACTACAAGGTGAGGGATGCAGCGAAACATACGGAGGGAAAATAGGAGGGGGGAAGAGATCCAGGACGGTCTGCACAATATATGCAGATTTTTTCAAATGTAAATTGTCAAGTGAATGCTGCTTTTATGCTCCTGCATAAAGGAAGGCATAACAAGGCTGCTCTACTTCCCTTTAAACACAGGCACATAAAGAGAGTAAGAGATGTGAAAAGCCAATTCTTTGAGCCGCTACTTAATCAATTGCACTCAGTTCTACTCGATGACACAGCCACACTGCAAAGACCACTCAGCAGTTAATGGATATAATGTTGGAAAAGCACTTTGAGGTCTTCCAAAAGAAGACGGGGTAAAAACCCAGAGGGGCATGGCTTTATTACTTATTAACTGAGCAGCATTCTACACGAAACTCCCCTGACCTGAAAAGAAAAGATATTAATTTATTTTGCATATTATTCTGATGATTCCATACAAAAGCACTTCTTTCCAGACTTGGAATTTGAAAGCGTGGTAGGGTTATCCTGCGCCCTGGGCTGGTCTTGTCAGGATAACCATTATAGGCTGTAAGGAATAAATATGTTCTTCAAGTGTTACAGCCTACGTTTACAATCTGTCCAAATGTAGAGCTGAGGAGGAGTTATGTGTTTTTAACTGTATACATCCATCACTAGCTATCACTCTTTCCACAGACAGCAAAAAGTCAACAGTGAAACATAAAAGCTAAAAATAAGAGCCTGAGCAATTGCTCAGAAGAGCTGCACATGGGCACAGTGTTACATGGACACACATCCCTTCCCTTTTTTATTACTGCCAATTTAAAGTATCTGAAATTAAGGGCTCAGATCTAGGAAAAACGAAATAAACATGCACTGCACAAATATGTAAAAGTCGGTTGGAAGTAAAACTTCATGCTCAAAACTGCACAATATCACCGTTCCAAATGGCACGTGCCCAGATGCAGGTAGTGACTAAAATGTTTTGCTGCAAATGCCATAAAAAATGACAATTATCGGCACTTCAAATGCTCCAAGAAAAATTTAGTGTCATTCCATACAAGCTGAAAATATTTCTCCACTCACAGGCATTTTAACATGTTCATTTCCAAGAGTCAATCAAGTTGACATTATTAAAGACCCACTGTTTACAACTTACCATGCTCTAATGATTGGAAATATGGCATAAAAAGAGTATGGTTTACATGCAGGCGTATGCTCAAAATACATGTCTGCGTATATAATTGCATATAGAAAAAGTATAATGTAAAAGGGAAGCACTAGACTCAGAAAAATCAATAAATCCATGACTTAAATAGGTTTTTTTGTGTTTTTCCCCCTCATTCTGTAAGGATTGATTAGGTGAGAAAAAAGCATAAAAACCTTGGAAGTTGTAAGTTTGAAATCTTACCTATTCAAAAGAAACAAGCTGTCTTTCAACAGTAGTTTTTGAACTATTTTTTAGCTTCAAAATGATTTATCTAACCAAACCTCGTAGGAAACCACAATATATGAGATAAAAAGGTATTTAATTCATACAAATCTGTGGTGCAAGTTTATAATATGTATTTGTTAGGGAAATAAATGGGGGGGTGATAAAGAGAAAATTGTGAAATAGGAGACTAGGGGTGACAGTTGCATTCTTCTTTGAGCCTCAGTGTCTGACTCATTTCTGTATTTTGGAGTTTTTTGCACCATATTAAGAAAATTCTGATTCATACACAGAAGTGGTTACAAATAGTAACATTTAACAGCTCCCTTGCAATCTGAGGTTACTCTTCAAGCAAACAGAAAAGAGAGCAGGAGAAGCTTCATTCCACAGCCTGAACCAAACTCAATAACCTATTAACACAATTAACTCATCTTCACTGCTTGCAACGATGCTAACATTTTCCACATAGTTGACTGTATATGTAAATTTTTTTTAAATTACAATATGTAAATCCAATTCAAACCATTTAGAAACCCGAAGATCCCCATCCGCCCAACCTCCACATCTCCCCCGACACAAAATGTCCTCGGGGGTTAGGGGAACCCAACCCCTGTTTGAAAGCCTGTCTTTAAAAAGCCTGCCAGGATACACTGAGACGGTGTTAGCAGTCAACCAGTAGGGTGACCGGGGCGGATGTAGCATAGGGAAACCTGTTGGCAAACCTAGGATTCTAGCAAGGTGTGCCACCTGCAGACCTGCTGGCCTTTGGTCTCCTTCATTTCCTCCCAATGGTCTTGTTCTTCCTCCCCACTACTGTTTTGGCCCAGAGCGATCCAACCAATCATCTCTTTACGCTTCATAGTACGCCTGTTATAAACCGAAATCATCAACGTGACATCAGAGAGCTGAAAGAGGGCCACCTGGAAAACAAAGGTCTCCTTATAGACAGGATTGGGCTGGCCACGTCGAATGGATGTCTTGCAGCGGGACATCTCTTGACCCACAGAATTGAGGAGAAAGAGCTTTCCATATGTATCTAAGGAAAAAACAACAACAATGGAAATGAGAAAACATCAGTGCTTTCTGTTTTGCTGGTCTAGTTGTAATATTTACGTGGGTAGTGTGTAACATACTGATCAGCATCCTTAGGCCTGGTACTTGCTGTAGGACTAACATATCTTACATAACTGACTAAGGAAAGGAATTATTACCTTGAATGTTTAATGTTTCATGAAGCCCACTATCGAGCACCTTGCTGATGTTCATCAGAAGCTCTACACATACAGGAGTGTATACATGCACAGCGTAAGTGCAATGGTGTTTGTGGGCATGCACTGTTTTTCATTCACATTTTATGTATGTAACAAGATAAATATATACATTTTGCTCTTCATGTATTTTTCTTTCCATAGTCAAAATACTGTTTTATGCCTGAGTTAAAGAATGTCTTCTTTTCTCATTGTGTATATATACTTTGGACTATTTCATCTACTCAATGACAACCACCAAATCTGGCTTCCATGACAACTACCAAATCTGTATCTCTAGCATAGACTTCTCTCCCAAGCTGAAGATCCAACTGAATACTACGTTTCTCTTCATGGACACCCACACACATCTCACACATATCAGGTTCCCAATTCCTAAAAACGTGCTGCTCCAGTGTTCCCCACCTCTGTGAATCGTAGCGCTATCCCCTCAATGATCCAAATCAGAAACCAGGACTACATTTTTGACAAGACTGGCTTCCTCACCCTGGTCCAGCCAATGAATCATCAAGTATTACTCATTCTATCTCCTAAATAGCTCCCAACCCACCCACTTTTATCCATCCCCAATGCCACCGAACTCTCAGTGTTCACTGTAAGTTCAGATCACCAGCATCTCTCACCTTCATTACTGTATACTTGCTCACCAAACACCAGTCACTGGATAAAGCGATATTTGTAAAATGCATATCTGGTCATATCACTCTCACTAATAAGCCAAAACTAAACCATCAATGCTTCCTACTAGTCTCAGGATAAAACTAAATTTCTTTATATAGACTACACACTTGGGCCCTGTTTATCTTCTAGTCTTATTACATACCTCTGTTGCCTTTACAAATTATAATCCAACTATTTTGAACTAGCTTCATCCCTCCAACCCCAACTGATCTCTTTCCCTTTCACTTTTGCACAAGCTATACCCACCTGGACATCCCAAGTAATACCCACTTTCACACGACTTCTATACACTAGTTTGGTTTGGACGTTACTTTATCCAGGAACTTTTGCTGACCACTCTCCCTCCCCACCAGCCCTAGTTCAGATAACCCTCCTGTGGGTTCCATCAAAATCAAGTTTTACAGACTCACAGATACAGAGAACAGACCGATGGTTGCCAGAGGGGAGGAGGGCTGGAGCAGTAGGGGAAGGCAAAGGGATTGAGAAGCACAGATTGGCGGTCGCAAAATAGGCACAAGGATGTAAAGTACAGCACAGGAGATACAGCCCATAATATAATAACTATGGATGGTGCCAGGGGGGTACTGGAAACATGGTGGGGAACACTTTGTAAGTATAGGATTTGCTCTACACCTGAAACTGATATAAAATAATATTGAATATAAACTGTAATTGAAAAAAAAATTTCAATTTTAAATCAAGTTTTAGCTTGTTTCAACACTTATCACCTTGTATTTCATTGCCTGTTTATTGTCTGCAAGATTATCAGTACCTCAATGGTAAAAAGAGGAACTGCCCTGTTTACCACTGTACCCAATGCTGGCCCAGGGTCTAACATGTAGCAGATATTTAATAAGTATTAAATATTTTATAATGAATGTTCATGACTAGCCAGGAGGCTCGGCTTTCTTTTTGCTTTTGGTCTCAAGTTTTTTCAAACTTGCAAAATGTAGCTACACCCCTTGTTATATAACCCTTGCACTAGAATGCTATACAGTAGTAACTAACATCATATGCTTAGCCATTTATAGAAAGGAAAGTAAATATCCAAATCACTGATATAGTCTATTACTTTTGCTAAAATTCTTGAAAGGATCATTACAAAGAACATTATCTCCTAAGACCATTATATTTTTACTAAAATCATTTATCAACTTCTTGACTTTTTTCTTAACTACAACTTTTACCACTAAGTTATATGTGTTCTACTTTTTTTTTCCAATCCTAAATGTTACAGTGTTTTCCAAATTTGTTTTTTCTGTACATTCTGTTCAGGCTGAAAGTTGATGAGTGTTTACTGCTCACTTTCCCACGTAAAGCCAGTCAAACTTTTTAAAAGTGAAAACCCAGGCTTCTGTAATTTACTGTTCCCTACAAGAGCACCGTGCGACGCGGAACAAATTACAACCTGCAGGTTTCCTTTCGATGTTGATCTTTTCCTATTCCAGTTTGATGTGTTATTTTATGCACTTATCCGCTGAGAAACACAAGGTGTGAAATTACACTTCAGGTGGGAAAACACTTCTCTGTCTCAGGGCTCTCCACTCTTCAAACTGCTCCACGGAAAAGCTATCAGAAAACCAACAATGGGGGAGTGAATTTGCCTTGTCGCAGCTGGAGGGCTAGAGGGAAAAGCTCACCCCAGCCGCCAAACTGCTCTGGGAATTCTGCTGCCTGCACGGCGCTGGGAATGGAGTTAATCTTGCAAACCAAGACCTGCTCATTTCACAAACAGAGCAATATCAAGCTTTATCCTGACATAAGATTGTTTTCTAATTATGAGAACGGCCACTTACTACAAAACCTCTATCGTGGAAGCTGAACTGTAAGTGAAAAGAAAGGAAAATAGTAATTTTATAAACAATCCAGTCTGAGGACACCTGACCGAAAGAAGGAAAGGTGCTGATTGTTCTAGCACAAAGGGGAACCTTTCTCAGCAGTAATGCTGTGCTTGCTTTTCCTGGGCCACACCAGAGGCCCAGGAAAGTCTATTGTGCAGAAGGCTGCGGAGCACGGCTGGGGACTTCTGGGTTCCGTGACTTATTCCGATGAGCACCAGTCCAAATAGATAGAGTCCACTGAAGTAAATATACAACTAAACTTAGCTCTGTTTTAATTCTTTGAAATTGATAATACTTGTTACAGAAAAACACCAAGCAATATTTTACCTTTTGACGATGACTTAGAAAGTCTCTCAGTGTCTCTAGTAACTCAAAACTATCATCAGAGCACTAGGACCCTTTCAAGGGTCCTAGTCCCTTGAAAGTCCTGGATGCTGCTCTTCTGGCTCTGTCCTGCCAACTGTTTTACTGGTCACTTGTTTCTCCATAAAGGAAGATACCACATGTAACAAAATATTGTAACAGTACAGTACTCCCCCCCCCC